GGCCATGCAATTTTTGAAAATTGCATTTTAAAATTCCACTGTTAAGAAATAGAAAAATTACACTGATCTGAGCTAAATTTCTCTGATCTAAAATATTTAAATAATATTTTCAACCATTATCTAACATCCTTCAAATTTACCTGTCCGATCCGATTATCTGATTTCTATATCGAACTTTATCGCTTTATAGCTTTTAACACAAATCTCGTATCGAAATTTGATTACCATGAAAATTCTTGTTTTAGGCCAAACTGTTCATTTATGGGCTAAAATATACAACTTTTCAAATTATATTTTTAGTCCCTAAACTTTTACAAACTTTATACTTTAACCACCAAACTTTCAAAACTTATATTTTAGTCACTAACCAAATTTGGGGAATTACACTGTTCAAAACCCATATGAAATACCTTCAAGTTCAAGGGGAAGATATTCATCTACCAACTTTTTCGACCTCAACACCATAATAACATCCACCCAACAATATATTCATAACCCATATACAATTTGCCTTCAAATTCAAGGGGAAGATATCCATTTGCCAACTTGTTCGACCTCAACATCAGAATGTCATCCATAAATAAGATAAATTATTATCATCTCTACGAGAAAACCACATCATGAGCCAATTGTGGATGCTGCTGGGGCAACATTATTAGTGCAAAATTGCACTAATACAGGTGCACGGATGCACTAATACAAGAGTACACATTGGTAGTAATTTGAGTGCACAAATACACTAATATAAGATTGATCAATAAACATTTCACCTCATGGCTTGCCAATTGTACCAACAATTCACATATACATATAATGGGCTAAAATATTATTATATACATCAAAGTATCCACATATACTAAAATATTCAATTGTTATAGAAAAGTGTATTGGGCAGTTCATACCCGAAATCATCCAATAGTTCTCATAATTTTTCCCAATTTTACATTCTAACCAATCAAATGAATTCTTTAAAATTCATCCAACTTTCCAATTTATTCTGAAATGGTCCTTTTATCATTAACTTCACATTCAAGCTTCTAAAACTTTTCAAGCATACTACATCGATTATTGAACAATTGTACTTTAATCCCTAAAATTTTCCATAATATGAAAAAATGGTCCCTAAACTTTACAAAGTTCCAAATTGATCCAAATCACATTTTAAAGCATGTAGAATCATTCTAATATCAATTCTAGCCCTTAGGAAATTTTTGTATATTTTTCTTCTTTTTCTTCCTCAGGGCCGAATCAACCTAAGCAATTCTAGCATGATTTTCACTTTGATTCAAGCATGAATTCAAGCTCCTATCATCATTTCCATACAATCTCAATCATATCATATAAAATAATAATTCCTCCATAAACCCTAGCTTAACCAAATTCAATATAGTTATTCCTACATGATTTTAATCATCAAACTTTCTTGGAAACAACTCCACTAACATAAAAATCCAATCTTAAATCATCAATTTCAACTTCCCATTCATCCACCATATTCATGAAATCAATTCTCCATGCAAGAAAACTATGAATATTTACACCAAATGATAAAGAATTTGATATAGATAAATTCTCTATTTCACACTTTAATCCAAAATCAAATAAAATGGCTTAAAAATCAATTGAAAGCTTCCTTACCTTTGCTATGGGGTTTACGACAAGAGCAAGAAGAATATGAGAAATTCTTGAGTTTTCTACAAAATATCTCCTAACACATTCTTAATACTAATTATTCTAATTTACCTTTTTACCATAACTAAAACATGATAATTTCCACTTTTTCCATTTCCATGAAATCATATTCCCTACATCATCTTCAAGTCAAACATGAATAAACCTTTTCATACTTTCTACTTTTCCTTGAATTTTCCAAAAATTACAAACTAGCCATCATAGTTAAACAATCTGATTTATCATGAAAAATTGATCTTAATTCCAATGATCCATGTTAAATTTCACAATTCTAAAATATAGAAATAATATTTTTTAACCTTCTTCTATCGTCCTTCAAATTTCTCAAACTTCCGATTCGATCCGATCATCTGAATATTTTTACCGAACTTTATCACTTAATAGATTTTAATACAATCTCTAGATCAAAAATCTGAAACCCACAAAACATCATTCTTATGGTGAATTATTCATTTATGGGGACAAATATATAACTTTAAAAATTACATTTGGTTACAAGACAAAATTTTGGGGTATTACACACCACCACCTCAAGTCAAAAATAGTTTTAACTTAAGTTAGTTTCATTTAATTTTACAGGTCGGGCCATTTTTTTACATCCTTAGATGGGATTCAAACTGACTACGCTTAAGGAGGTTCTTACTTCTCACGAAAGGGCGAATTTGGTTTGACTTTTGAAAAGTGACTTTTAAAAGTGTTGTAGAAATGAACTTTTAATTGTGTTGTACAAAAGTGCAGTTTAAATTTAATTGTTTGGATTGCTGTTAAAAATGAGTTTGAAAATATAAAATGTCACTTAGACATTATGATGTAAATTAAAAATATAACATTTAATTATTTTACACTTATATATCATAATTTTAAACTATAATAAATTCAAAAAATATATAATTTAAACTATAACAAAAATATAAAATATAAAAAATACAAATAAAAATATATATTATAACTCACTATTATATTTTAATATAAAATAATTTTATTTATTTTTAAATAATTAAAATAAATTATTAAAGTAATAAATTATTGTTAAGGATGTTATTAATAAATTATTAAAATAAAATATAAATACATAATTTAGTGGAGCCAATGCATTAGTAAAGGTAACATTATAATTTGCTTCCAAATGAAAAATTGAAAATGAAAAAAATTAAAAATTCTTAGCTTTTGCGGTTAGTTTGAAACCACTGTTTTCATTGCATTTCTATTGTTTATTTTTTACACATTTTACATTAATTTACAAGCAAAACGGATTTTTTTTAATAAAAGTGCTTTTAGAAAGCTTTACCAAACACACCCTAAACTAGGTCTGAAATTTTTTCTAATCCTAATGAAATCTATATTTAAAGTTATAAATAAAAATTAAATTAAAAGATAATATTAGTTCCGTTTTTATAATAAAAAATAAATTTAATGATCAATATAAAATAGAAATAATAGATTAACTGTTCTTATAAAATAAGCATAAACCAAATTTGTTTTATAAAAATAAAATACTACAAAGTTTAATCACAAAATCTTTGAAGAATATCACAGTGACGAATTATTCTCAGTTTTAGACAATATTGTTTATTTTATTTAGTGACTAGAAAAAATTATTATACTTGCATCTGAACTTTGCGACAATTCTCAAATTAGTTCTTGAATTTATTTTTGCCGCATATTGGTACTTGAATTTGAAAAAAAAAATATCAAAATGATACATAAGTTTGAGAAAAGAAATTCTCAAGTTGATAGTCAACACCGACATGGTCTTCCAACAACCAGTTAAGTTATGACACATGATACTTAATAACTTTATCATTTGATTCATTTTTTTCTTATAAAAATTTAGGTAAGGGGTGTATCCCCCAATCAAATATCAGTATATATAAGACTCAATTTATATTTACATAAGAATTTACAGATTGTCCATCAAGAGTGACGATGAGAGGATTCAAATTTGGCCTACCAAGTTCATGAATCTCAACCACTTATTGAGATGACATGTTAAGTTAACATAGGTAATATTTAAGATTTTCTTTCAAGTTTAAATATTAATTTGATAAAGTCATTAAATTCAAGTACCAATTCGTATAATAAGCCAAAAGAAAATTATAAAGCATTCTTAACATAAGGAAGGAGCAGAAGGAGGAGGGAAAAAAAGGGAGAAAAATGTATCCAAATTATATATCAACACAAGGGAAACAATTGAGGGCGTAAGCAGGGCAAGTACATATAATAAGTCTCTATGAACTCTTCCTGAACCATGATCTCCGAAATGATCTTTTTCAGTATTTTCAGAGGACCAACCATCACACTCCATCGAATCACCGGGCGTGACCCTAACCAGAACCCGCGACATTTAGCCTTATACCCGAGTCGTATCGTGCTTCCTCGTCTCCTCTTCAGACGCCTCCTTCCCCGGCACCACGACACAAACACCATCGAGTTCGAAAACATTGATACGGCCATAGAACCCTTTTTCAGCGTCCTTAGAAAAAGAAATACCGGTTGGTGATAATGCGGATTGCGAAGTGTTTCAGTCAATTCACAACTGATTGCTTATATAGTGAGTGTGAAGATAGAGCAGGGCTTGATCAATGATGACGGTCATTATGGTCGTTCATTATTATATCGTGGCGCTTTAAGTTTGTTAAAAAAGGGTTTCTTTCCACTTTTAAAATGGGGCTTGTGGTGTTCATGATTAGAAGAGATAGGGTCTTCATTAATGCTTCAAATGAGTTCAAAGAGAAAGTTGGTAAGATGTACCAATCATCAAGGAATCCTATTATGTTCTTTTTTCTTCTTTTATATCATTTTTTAACTTTCACATTTTGTTATTTGAGAATACGTTTATCTTCTTCTCATACATTGATAGTTCATTCCTTCTAGTTTAAGCAGAAGATTACAATGGATGAAGACTCAATCATGAACCGAAGTTAAAACGTGTGAGGGGTGAATGAAAGTTAAAAGAAGATAAAAAAGTGTAGATAGGAAACCGAAAAAGAGAGAAAGTCCTCAAATCAGGTTTATCTCAAATATTTATGTTGACATTTTGAGTGGATGTTAGTCTAGATCATCATAATTGTTAATGGTTGAAAGACTATACATATATGATTATCAACTATTAAATTTGATTCTGTCAAATATTACATTAAAGATTGAGAAGTATGGATTTCAGTGAGCGATTCCGACATAAAATGATAAAATCTTTCAAATATCTTTTATATATATATATATATATATATATATATATATATATATATATATATATTTATTTAATAATTTTCTCCAAAAGCATAACCCTTTAATTAAAGGTGCCCATTTATTACAATATAAATACAAGTTCTTAAAGAAAACTAAACACTTAAATAGATAATGATCAACTACTCCCTGTAATGCCATTGTTGGAGTTGAGGTTTTTCTTTGAAGCCGGGTATTTGATAGCATTGTGTTCAACTTTGCGCAAAACAGCTTTCCCCAGATCAATGCCACAAATATCAGACAACCTTACGAGGTAGAGTAGAACATCGGAGAGTTCTTCACCGACATGAACTTTTTCTTCTTCTTTCCAATCAGGCAACCCTTTTGGTACCTCCCCTTTCCATTGAAATATCTCCGACAATTCTCTCACTTCACCCACCTACATGAATCGTCACAAAAAAGTGAAGCATTTGCAGACCAAATTGAAAGAAAAGTTTAAAACCCTAGGTGGGAAGTACAAAAATAATAAGAGAAAAATAGAAAGAAGGCAACTTGCAGAGATGCATCTGCAAACCATGTTATGTGATTTAGTCTTTAAGAGCCATTTTGTTCACGATATACAACATTATCATAGGAATAAAAGCATTATTCTTCCGTTTGATTGGGCGATAATCTTATTCCTGGTAATCTTTTATTATCAACAATAAATTTTTTGAAGTATATTACCGGTAATCATTATCGGGAATGTGATTACCTAATTCCTTTAGGTATTGTTAGATTACCGGTATTCTGAACTAAAATATTCTTAAATTTTTTTTCTTCAAAATTATCATTCTTCTATCACTAAATAATAAAAATTCTACGAAAATTAAATTATAAATTTATTCTTAAACTATTTTAGATTTTAAAAAAAAAATTCATAATTATAATTTTATATGAATTTCGAAGGTTAAAATAAAATTTTATCATTTCATTAAACATATTTATCTTTTTAATTTTATAAAAAAATTTATATAAATTTTTAAAATATATATATAAATTAATTATAGTAATATTATAATAGAAGTCAACTTGTTAAAAAATAAATATGTAATAAAAATAATTTGATAAAATATACATTCTAATAATTTTTTTAACTAAACACATTAATCTTATATTCTTACTAAATCAATAAAATACAACATTCCCAATAATTATATTCCTTAATAATCTTTTATTCTTATTAATAATTTTATATTCCGTGAATAAAACGTATCCGGAAGAATAAGATTATATATATATATATATATATATCAGTAAACGCTAACCTTTCATCTTTATTGTGTCTTGGAAATGGAAACTATAATCTAATATTCAAAGACTGAACGAGTAACGTTCCTAATAAAGCTTTGTTTAATATGCCTCTAGAGGGAGATAAAGAAAGATACCAGGGCCAAAAGGAGGTTTCTAGGGCTGTGGAACTGATCCCAGTCCCTTTCCTTGGCAAAGTTGGCCATTTCCTGCTTAAGAAGATCAAGACTCACACTTTGATCACCTTCCTCAATTCCCCCAGTCATCGTTCCTTTGTTTAATACAAAAAAGGAATAAAAAAATGATAAAAGGAAAGGAAAAAAATGATAAAAGGAAAGAAGGGTTTGATAAAAAGATGAAATTCAGAGACCTGGGAGAGAAACTGCAGTTTTCTTGGAAAGCTAATATAATAAAAAGAGAGCAGGGGAAAGAAACCAGAAAACAAAGGGATGTTTTCTGTGTAAAAGAGTGTGTACATTTAATTCGTAAGTTTCTCTCTCTTTTTACAAGAGTAAGTTTATCTCTTATGTAGTGCACTATTTTGAACTTACGTGCATATGATATATAAGCTTGGCGTATATACATGTATCTTTATACTTTTTTGAGTGTATAAAATACGAGAGAAATTTAGTGGAGGGAGATCGGTGAGCCTGTGGGAAGCTATATATCCTAGCTACGGACAGCTACAACTTTACGACCCAAAACATTGAACCCTTACAATCTATTATGCCACGTGTTAGTAGCCCACATGCATTTCCCTCGATCCTTGGGCAGCCTCTTTTCTTTATATGTACCATGTGTTCTTTTCTTCTTTTTCATTACCTTTGGACGAGAATGATATGTTTGGGGTTCGCTCATGTCTTTAGTTTTTTTTTATATATTTTATGTATATTTTTAATATTTTCTTAGAATCTTTTTTTCTATTTATGTGTTCGGTATCGACTTAGTATCAAACAAGTCAATTCCGTGGACAAGTAGAACCAATAGGTATTGTTATTATGATGGTGAATCCTTATAGGAGGGAAAGTGACCTTATCTTGTTTGTCTTTTTTACGATTTTCCAAATGGGTGATACTAGCAACTCACTTTCAAGTGACACTTCTTTTGTCGAGTAATGATCCCATAGACTTGAAATTATTGCGTAAAATTAAACTAAAGTTCATTTGTTTTCATACGGCATTTAGTTATGAAATTATTGTGATAAAAAAAGGTTATATGATCATATACCTTTTAAGACCCTGTTATGTTAGGCTTTCTCTGCAGAATCTCTCATAACTACTAAAAGACAAACAAATCATCTTTACAACTTCGGTTAATTATCTTAATTTACAAGTTATTAATTTATCGATATGAATAAATTGATCATGATAACTATAGACAATTTATTTATTTATTATTTAAATAGAAAATTACAGCTGGTAGACAACTTCTTTAAACGTCAAGTTTTTTACGAGTAAACTGGTCAATTTTGATGATTTTACCTTGTCAATTTAAGAGGTTTCTATCAACTATAAAAGACTCCCAACAAAGTCAACAAACCCATACAAAAAATTTCAAATACTTCACATACTTCTTTAAACAAAACTGCATGATAAGAGATTTATGTTTTTTCCCCATATGTTTGTCATTTTGTATAATGGGTGAAATGTTTCATCAAGATACATGTCATTTGACTGATGGGTGATGGCTTCCAACCCCGTTTCCATTAATAAATAGTATATCCATGTAGTTTTATTTTAATTTACTAATATCTTTATAAAATTGTGTTGGGTTAGATTTTGTTGTTGATGCATATCTGCCTTTTATATTGTTGAACTGAAACCTCACTTAAGGCATGCCAATTTTGAATCATTAGAAGTACACTTCAGCTGTCTATTTTTTAAAATAAAATTGTGGTGTTTTTAGTTATTAAATCCCAGCCAATTAGATTTAAGTTATATTCATTTATGTTCATTATATTCATCATTTGAGAGAAATCATTATTATTGATTCTCTCAAAAATCATAACAAATTAAATGTGAAAATATAATTTAAAAAGAATTTTTATAGATCATAATACATCATTAATTTATATGAATCAAATTAAAAGGAGGATCAAAGGATTTTGATTAGAATTAAACCAACCGGATTCATTGAATTGAGTTTAAACCAAATTTTATGTTTTACCTAAGTCACACTTCATTACTTTAAACGCGGCTATGTGCAATAAACAAATATGGGTTTAGTGTTTACTTACCATATTTACACTTTTTTGTTTCTAAAAGATGTTTAAAATTTTGTGAATTACCCAAAATCAGTCGATATCGAATCGAAAACGATGTAGCAGAACTGACCGGATAAAATGATATTGCAATTGTATGTGCTTCGTTCTGGAATGAAAAGATGGATTCTTCTCTAGATGGATAACACTTTCACTGTCACAATACAAGACATTGTTTTCTTGTTTCTTGCCAACTCTTCCAAGAAAATTTGGAGCCAAACCATCTCATTGTTGGCTTCCGTAACAGCGACATATTCCGCTTCAGTTGTGGAGAGAGCAACTATTTTCTGTAGTTGAGAAACCCATCTTACTGTAGTCCTCCTATAGTATAGACATACCATTTAGTGCTTCTTCTGATGTCGACATTTCTAGCTAAGTCAGCATCTACATAGTCTGTCAGTATCGTATCTTCACCTTTGAAATAAAGTGCCTTTTTTGTGATACCCCGCAGATATATGAGGATCCATTTGACCGCTTCCCAGTGTACCTTGCCCGGATTATTCATGTACCTGCTAACAACTCCCACTGCTTATGCAAAATCTGGTCTGGTACAAACCATGACATACATCAGACTTCCAATTATTGAGGCATATGACACCTTCACCATGTGTTCACGTTCTTCCTCCGTCTTTGGTGGCTGTTCTTTGAAGAGTCTAAAATTGCAGCACCCAGATCCTTCATAGCAAACTGCTTCGACAATTTTTGCTTCAAGTGTATAATCTCTTGCATGTCTGAGTCTGCAACGAGCATGTCATCAACGTACACTAATAAAATAATGAAGTTGTTGTCGAACCTCTTGATGTAGCACCAATGGTCTGCTTGGCATCTGGTAAAACCACTGCTACTCATGAAGCTATCGAACTTCTTGTACCACTGTCTAGGAGCTTGTTTTAAAGCATACAAGCTCTTCTTCAACCTACATACCAGATTTTTCTTGCCTGCCTCTATGAAGCCTTCTGGTTGCCTCATATAGATTTCTTCCTCCAAATCACCACGAAGGAAAGTTGTCTTTACATCTAACTTGTAACACCCCCAACACGTACCCGACCTGGATACGAGTCCGAGATGTCACATTGACATTTAAAAACAATTTTCTTACAAAATAACAAAATATTTGAACTCATATTAAGAAAATATGATAATATATTATTAAATTATGTTCGTTATAACCAATTTAAGAAAATATACATTTAAAAAAAAAGTAAAATACGGTATGAACAGTACCGTGAACAGTAATGAACAGTACCATGAACAATACCCTGCTACAGTACCAAATGCTAAAATTTTCCAGAATATTAGAGGGGTATCGATACCCCTGCTACAGGTATCGATACCCTGCTATAGTACTGCTACAATACTTCTACAGTACTTCCGTAAAACATACATAAACTCTTAAAATTTAACCTTTCAACGCTATACATTTACCATTTACATAAATACATTTAAAACATTCCAAAACTCGATCAAAGCACACACACTTAATTTAAAAACTTTGTTTACATGTCAACTTATTTATTACATAATAATACATACTGTTTAAGTTTCTTCTGATCTGATAGTTGTAGGAGTAATGTTGTCCCAACTGTCTAACCTTGCTTGTCTATCTTCTCTGATCCTACATGTGAAACACTCACACGCTAAGTCATCGACTTAGTGAGGCATAATACTAATGACAAATAAATATAATGAAAATGTCATAATAAAATGCAATATCATGAAATCATATATTCAATTCATTTAAGTCCCATAATCATGTATCTTACCCATAATATGATCAAATTAACCATCATGAATTCATATAATAAGTTCAATAGGTTCAATAACCCATGATACAATACTGAGAACCTGAGGTATGTGAGTACTGTGAGGTTGTGCACTATGTTGTCGCCACAACTCATATAAATTTGCACCGAAGTGCCACGCAAATTTTTGTCCTGAAGGATCGCGTAGAAATTTGCACCGAAGTGCCACGTAGAATTGCACCGTAGTGCCATATAATATTGTCCATAAGGACCACATATAAATTCCTTAAGAATCATATACATATACCAAGGATCAAGTAGGAGTCTCAAAAGACCTCATACATGTTCCAAAGAATACATATATGTCCCGAAGGACCACATAGAATTTGTCTCTAAGGACCGCGTAGGCCCTCTACTCTTGGCATGCCAACTATAGCTATAGTTCTCATCTACATAACATAGGCTTTCACAATTCACATTGTAACATCCGCAATACCGGGTTAGTGACCAAATTGAAAGTTTCAGAATTCGGTGATTAACGTATAAGAATGAAATAATTTAATGATTATTGGAAATATATGATGAAGGTTATTTAGTAATTATTAAAGGAAATTAAGGGTTAAATGGTCATTTGACCAGAAAGATTTTTATCTTTCTTTTAAAGGTGATATAAACGTGGGAAATGAGAAATATCCAGAGTTCTCTTCTCCTTTCTTCTTCTTCATACGTGGGAGAGCAAGGCAAAGGTGAGAGTTTTATTAGTTGATTATTGAATTTTAAGTTTAGTTTTGATCTTTAGTTGATGGATAAACTTAAGGAAAGCTTGGGTTACGGTAAAATCAAAGAATGGAGGGGTTAAGGGAGATTAAAGATTTGGAGTTTTTATATGAAATTTTGGAAAAGAATTGATAAGTAGAATTTGAAGTTAAATTTGACTTGTCAATGGTTAAATTAAGAGATTTGGAGTGATAGAATTGTATTTAGAACATATAGAAAATTTGAGTATGATTATTGAATTTCATAAGAGGAAAGGTTTTTGAGAATTAAGATGGGATAAATGAGCACAAATGGGTTTAAGTATGTGTGTTTGAGTTTAGTATATAAAAGAGGTTGAAATAGGAAGTGTTTAAGTTGAAATGAAGTATTTTTCGTGCTGAAAATGTAATTCTGGGCTAGGGGAATCGGTACCCATTCAAGGGGAATCGATACCCCTTCAAGCGAATAAAAATTCCAAAATGTCATGGGGGAACCGATATCCCCACAGGAGGGAACCGATTCCCCTTAAATGAAAATTTTAAATATTGGTTTAATAAGTTCGTTTAAGTTGCTAGTATCAAGTTACAA